CGCCCGACACTAGAAGTCTCGTGGGGTGTGGAGCAGGCGTGTGTACTGGCGGGCCCGGCTCAGGAGACAGTCCCTGGCCACTCAGACTGAAGTGGAAAAGGATGAGAAGAAGGCTACTTCTTCGGTTCCCACTTCAGGTATGTTTATATACATGCGGCTTGGGTCACATGACGGGTGCCACATCATCCTTGCATACAGCTGTAGTCACCCGGGTGTCCCCGAGGGTGTCCGCTGTGAATGTGCAAGCTGGACGTAGCGGGGGTTGCCTGGGGCGCCCGGGCTGGTCGTGTCGTGAGCATGCTGTGGGTGGGTCAATGGTACATTGATACAAGGAAAGGTCATCCGTGTAGAATAAAGAGAAAATAAAGAGAAAGTGAAATACATGAAGAGGAAGTGAAATGGAGAAAGAGAGAAAGAGGAAGGAGGGAGGAGGTAGGAGGAGGCTGGGTGGCGGGGTACCCGGTGAAGTGGGGCCGGGTGGGGCCGGGTCAGGGGGGTGTGCCCTGACAGCGCCTTCGTCTCCCGCTTCTCGAAAGAGCTCGCAGACCTTCTAGGCGTCAAACTGACCCCTTCAACACCCTACCACCCCCAGACGGACGGACAGACTGAGCAGGTCAACCAAGAGATCGAAGCTTATCTCCGGGTGTTCGTCAACCATCGACAAGACGACTGGGCCAACTGGCTTCCGCTGGCAGAATTCTCCTACAACAACCACATCCACTCATCCACCCACCGAACTCCTTTCGAACTCGACACCGGCCAACACCCCAGGATGGGGACAGAGCCCACACGCACGTCCGAGGTGGAAGCTGCTGATGCGTTCTCATCGAGGATGATGAAAATGCAAGAGGAGGCAAAGGCCGCAATGGAACACACAGCAGACGAGATGGCCCGTTACTACGGCCGAGACCGCGAAACAGCCCCAAAGTACCAAGAAGGCGACCGAGTCTGGCTCAGTGTGCAAAACTACACGACTGACCGCCCAACCAAAAAGTTGGACCACAAATGGCTCGGCCCCTTCAAGATCGTCAAAGTCGTCTCCCCCGCTGCCGTCAAACTCCAACTTACCGCACGCCAGAAGGGAATCCACCCAGTTGTATCCATAACGAACGTCAGACCACACCGCCCGGACGATATCCCAGAATGACCCACTGACCCCCACCCAGGTCCGGAACTTGTAGACGGAGAAGAAGAGTACGAGGTCGAGAAGGTATTGGACTTTAAGTGGCTACACCGGAAACTCTGGTATCTGGTAAAGTTCGTTGGTTGGCCAAGCTCAGAGAACCAATGGCTCCAACGGGACCACTTAGCCCATGCCCCTGACCGGATCAAGGAATTCCACAGGATGCACCCCCAAGCCCCAGGGAGAGAAAGAGAGAACCATCTGGCCGCTTCGAGGCGAAGCGGCTTAAGGAGGGGGTGATGTCAGGGCACACCTGCCTGACCCGGTTCCACCCAGGCCCACCTGGGCCCACCTCACCCACTCACCCGCTCCCCACTACCCATCCTTCCTCCTCCCTCCTTCCTCCCTCTTCCCCTTCCTCCCTTTCCTCCCTTTTCCCTCTTTTCTCTTTCTCCTCTATTTCATTCTCCCTTTCTGTTTATTCTTTCTATTTACACAGACCACCTTCCCTTGTATCATTGTACTGTTGACCCATCCGGCTTGGACACCCCGGACGACTTCCCGCTATGCCCAGCATGCGCACCTGCAGCGGATGCCCTCGGGATCCCCCGCGGGGATACCCAGATGGCTGCGGCTCTCTCTGTAGATGACGTGGCACTCATCATGTGACCCAAGCCGCATGTACATAAATGTACCTGAAGTGGGAACTGAAGAAGTAACCTTCTTCTCACGTTTTCCACTTCAGGTAAGTAGTGTAGTTCTTCCTTTTAATAACAATTCACGTTTTCCACCTCAGTCTAAGTGGCCAGGGACTACAGTCCCAGATCGGGCCTGTCAGTACGCGCGCCCGCTTCATCCCCCGAGAGGGTCCCTCTGCTGGGCGCTACAGCCGGGCCCCCTCCACCCCAGACGCGTCCCTGACATGGACCCTCTTCCTCCACAGTGTCTAAGTCTAGAGTGGCAGCATAGTTTTGTGATTCCGTGATGCTGTTAGACACTGGTCCGGGGTCGGCACCGAGGGTCGCCGTTGCGGGCCGCTATAGGCCGCGATGGCCACGATGCCTCGAACAAGGCCCGAGGGTAGGGCATTCGGCCTCAGCAACTCTAAAGGGAGTGCTGTACCCCCTAGCTGTCTCTTGGCCCTCATTTCAGACTCACTGGGGTCGCCTTGTTGGGGTCAGGACTTAGGGGTCATGGTCACATCGATATTAGAGCTAAGGTACAATAAAGTATCATACAGGATATATATAGGAGGAAGAAATGAATGGAAGCGGACCCGGGCCGGAGGCCGAAGGGTCCGGAAGCAAACAAGAATAAGGAGTGGGGTTGGCCGCATAGCGGCCGGCAATGACCGAGGGTCAAAACAAACAATAACAGATAAATAAAGGAAAGAGCGTAGGGCTGCGATAGCAGCGATGGTATTGTAGCAGCGCTGGACTCGGAGTTGGGCCAGAGTCAGGCGTGGGGATGATAGCGGCCCTGTAGGGGCCAAGTGGGCGGGGTAGGGGAGTCGCACTGGGCACGGTGCTGGAGGCGGACTCAGGGTGGGGAGGTTGGTGTAGCAGCGGGGGAGTCGGCCAAGTGTAGGGGAGCCTAGGGGCAAGCAGGGGAGTGAGCAGGGAGTCCTCAGGGAGGATAGGGCTGAGGTCGGGGCTCGCGCTCATGCTCGCATAGCAGGAACGGGCTCGGGCAGCATCAGGACGGGCCGGGAACGGGCCGGAATGCACGGCCATGACAGATGCCATCAGGCAATGTTCCTGGTTGCACAGTAGCAGCAGCAGCTACTAGTGCATGTAATCCACTCAGGTCAGCAGGATTTTGAGCAGGATTTGGCAGTGGTGACACAGAAGGAGGGTGGGAAGGTGGTTGTCATCGTGGATGCAGATTTCGGTGGGGGTCCAAAGGAGAAGCCATCTCCAGGGATTCTGGCTGAATTTTCTTCTGTGCTGAGTGCAAGGCCTCTACCCTTGGTCCCTGTGCATTCACCCGCTTGCTTCCCCTTTTCATTGTGCATGGAATATGAAGTGCAAATGGAAGAATAAATGGAAAACAAATTGCATGTCTCCGGAAGAAGCCGTTGGTTTGGCCCCAGGAAGAGCAGGCATGGAAAAGGATTGGCATGGAATATAATGCTCCATAAGGGAGAGGTACTGAGGCGAATGGAGAGGAAAAGATGGTGGTGATGTAAGCTCAGGTTGAGAATGGGGGATTGCGTAAAGGAAGGGTTGATGGACATGCATGGAAATACAATTTTTTTCAAAGACTCCTATCAATTAGACAAAAGAGAGATCCCAGGCCACATCCAAGAACTCCTTTCCACCAGACTTTCACCGCACCACACCCTGCTGTCGAGGAAGACAGTGCCAAGCCACATTGAGCACAGTCTTGAACACGCAGCCTAATTAAAAAATGAAAAGAAATCCTATCAGTTAGAAAAAATAATGGGTCCGAGATAAATGCCAGAAGAACTCACCACCTGACTTTCGCTGCGCTGCACCCTGCCATTGTTGAGGAAATTGGGGGGGACGGTATCAAGCTACATTGAGCACTGTCATGAACCCGCAGCCTAATTAAAAAATGAAAAAAATCCTATCGGTTAGAAAAAAAAATGGGTCCAAGACATATAGTGTTGGAATAACCATCAGGGATGGAGTAACCTCCCTGGCATAACGGGTGAGTAGTGTATGGATGCACGCTAGAGGTCCTGGGTTCGATACCAGGCTTGTCCATTTTATGTCATTTGTCCAGTCACCTGGTTTACCTCAGTTGAATTCATGACATAAGTCTATAGCGCTAGCAGTGTTGAATTTCTTCATATAGAAGAACTACTCACTGCACGACTTTTATCCCATTTCACTCAGCAGTTGTTAAGAAAAGTGGGGGGGACTGTGTGAGTCACCACGATGGCACACAACCTTATTAAGAAACGAAAAAAGGCCTATCGGTTAGAAAAAAAAATGGGTTTGAGATATTTACAAGAACTACCTACTGCCTAATTTTCATCCCTTTCCATCCAGCTGTTGTTGAGAAAAATGTGACAAACGTGAATTTATAAAAAACGAGAATTAGGATTATCGGTGGTAAAGTACTGTGGTATAACGACCATTAGTTCATTCCCACGGCCTCCGGGAGTTGCCGGTGGTGTCGAATCAATTCAATCATGTTCATTTTCAATTCAATCCAAAATCTTCATGCAACATGCGACGAACTTATGGTCATTATAGGACAGTAATCTGTAGGAGTAAAATACATGCCTTTTAAAAGAAACCGCAAGTCCCTAGCTCATCTGGTTGCAGAGATATGAGCTATTCTTTGTCAGGCTTGCTTTCATGCCAACAAGCGAGTGCGGAACCGAAATTTGTCACGTGGACTATTGAATGGAAAACGGCAGTAGTGGGTATACCCGACCCTCCGCGGTCACGGGAGCCCCACACGGAGCAATATTAATACATTTGCCAGTGCGGAAACGCATTTCCCCATGGTGGCAATTCTCCTCCACAACAGGCACATGACTCTCGTGTACTAGAAGGCCTCGCCCTTCCTCACAAACTTCAGGCATACCTGCCTGCGAAAGCTATCGAAGGTTCCACCAAAAAAAAAAAGAAATCCAAACGAGTCGGCATTCCATTAACAAAACGCTCCGGACCCCATAATTGATCTTCCCCTGTGCCATGATTGATTCTCATTGGATACAGCCCAATTAACAAGATGCTTGATTGTGGACAACCACGAAGTATGGCTGAATTTAACAATTTACATATCTAAATATGAGCCTTCATTGCGAAGGTCATTCCTTTGTTTCCGTATATTTGTACCGGAGATCTCTGCCCCGTAGCTACCAATGGAAGTACACAGCCACACCATTGACCGATCGTCAATGGGCTATAAGCTTTGCCTACTCGGTATGCATAGCTAGCTCGTATTATTAGCGCCTAGTGATACTCCTGATGGTAGGATGCGGAACGATGGGAATTGCGATCACCTCTGGCTTGATTTCAAGCCTGGAGACGCGATGGAACAGTCCCGTTCAAACTTTTGGTGATCATCCTCCATCATCCGGTACATCCACTCCTGTCCCTTCATACATGATGGGTGTATCGGAAGATGCACTTCCGTCAAAATTTTTGGCCACCGTAAGTCGTAAGGAAAGTGCCAAGAAATTACGCAAGTTGTTCTCGGAGTCATTCGGGGAACTGGCAAACCTCGTAGACATTTTCGTTGGAGAAAACGTTGCAGCAGTGCGAGATAGTGATGTAGTGCTGGTCTGGTGTGCATTCTCTTTTCCCCTTTAACTACCTTAGCGATGCTCAAACTGGCTGGAGTTGTAAACCTCAACTGGCCGAAGCAATACTCACAGAGGAAGGGATGCGAGAGGCCATCCGAGGGAAACTCGTCATTAGTATCATGGCTGGGGTCACTATTAACCAGCTAAGTGAGTGGTTAGACCCTAGTGTTAGAGTTATTCGTGCCATGCCGAATACGCCATCGAAAGCGAGTGCTCTTGATCCTCATCTAATGGCGTAGCTGATAATGTACAGATTCGCGAAGGAATGACTATCGTATCAACACTTCCTTCAGCCTGCGAAGCGAACGAGCGTGAAATTATTCTTGCCATCTTTTCCTCCATTGGTCGATGCCGTTTCCTTGATGAGAAACACTTTGATGCATGTACGGCGTTGTGCGGATCTGGACCAGCATTTGTCTCAATCGTGCTTGAGGCTCTGGCGGATGGGGGTGTGATGATGGGATTACCTAGAGTCGAGGCGTTGGAGCTAGCGGCTCAAAGTAAGCAGCCAGATTCGTAACGTCAATCTGTTGATGGCACGATTTCCACCAGCCGTACAGGGAACTGCTCGCATGGTGTTACAGACAGGCATTCATCCGGCAGCGCTAAAAGATTCCGTCACGAGTAAGCTGGTTATTTTTCCCTGAGAATTCAACATTGGTGGCTGATGATCCGCTTCAGCACCAGGTGGATGTACGATTGCTGGATTGCTATCTCTGGAAGATGGCAGAGTACGGTCCACTTTTGCTCGAGCCATTCAGGTGGCAACTATCAAAGCTCATGAGCTTGGACAGCCCACGAAGCATTAGGAGCAGCTATTTTCTTTTAATCACCAAACAAAGGTGTGTTGTGGTTGAATTCATGCATTATAATGTGCCACAGACAAGATTAAAAAAGAATCCATTATAACTGGTGGACGCCGCCTGTCGCGGCGGAGTGTTTAGGACCGTGTTTCGGCGTTTGGATTTGTGCTGCGTGCTTGTTTCTTATTGTCCCACTCAGCACAATGTACTCCAATTTTTTTGACATGGATACCTCCCCTCGACGAGATTAATCATATTCGGACAAACCCCGATCATATGGCATACGAGAAGCAGGCAATCAAAGTCAAGCCAGGCAGATCACTGTCCTTTTTTTACAATAATGAAACCAGAAGTGCAGGAAATTGTAGGCGAATTCCTTGGTTTACGGACTTTCGGACGCTCAAACCTGTTGGAGGTGGGCGGATTATCCGTGTCCTCATCAGCCGCCATATCTTCATTGCGACGGAAAAACGGGTCCCATTTAGAATGGAGTCCTTGCAACTCGTCGTCACCGGCTCGTTTTGGACAGGACGGTGTTGTCCTCTAACAGACGGGTGGACCCACAATTTGCAAAGCAAATTTGGAAACTACGAATTTCGCCTCGTGCGGTATTTCGAGTGCGGGTGCTGAATGTGATGGTATTACTCTCCGCGCTGATGCCTGAGTGTCATAAGCGCAAAGTGGCGGTCCCGACGACCGCAACACCAGCCCTGAAGAGAAGCTAGAGTTCATCGTGCAGAATGTTGTTCCCATGTTTTCAATGTCCATAAAATATTGGAATTCTTTCTGTACAACTGCTGATGGTATCAGCTGTGATCACAATTGGAAGCGCTTGTGGTGCGGTCGCTTCCCGACGGTTCTAGAGAAAGGAGCCCATGTGGATCGAAGACACCGAGTCCGTAAGAAGTAGATAGAAACACCGGCATCGGCATCGGCATCAACATGGGTCATTTGCCGACCCCCATAGATTTTCAGTCCCCGACATCACTCTTCACCAGCTATGTCACCTTTAAGCTTCATATTCCTTCGTGCTGCTTGAAAAACTCATTGGGGACATCTCTGGATCCCTAGATATTTGGATGTGGATCAACAACGCACCGTAACGTTGGCAGAGGCCAGATGCCAGCATCGATTCGCAGTTATCAACTCCGCTCTTTGCACAGTACCAACAGTGCCCACTTTCTTGTGAACTGCTCGAAAACGCGTCGAAACCGAAATCGAATTAGCCAAATCCTGGGTACGTGACATCCTCAGAGTGGCAGTAGTTCCATTGAGAAGGAAGCTGGTGCTTCTGCAACGCGATCGACGTATTCGGAAGTGGAAAAAGGAACTTGGCAGTCTCTGGCTCTGCCTAGGCTTCTGCGACTGCATCTTCACAGAGAACCGGTTCGAACCGGGAACCGAACCGCAGCAGAACCGAACCAGGTTTGGTCAGCCGGGATTGTCCCGTTTGATGGGAACTCATGTGGTCATATGTGTTGGAATTTGCACGTGGTCTTTTAGGGAAACCTAAAAGTTGGACATACTGGGAATCAAACTCCAGTCTTCTGGATCGCGAACTCAGCGTGCACAGCCATTACACCATACACCCTGTTAGGCTGAAGTGGTTATTTCAACAATATGATGTATTGGTGATGGGGTATGAATGTGCTTACAGCGAAAACCGGTTTATCAGGGAAAAGTTGTGCAAGTGAGAACCCTGTTCACTCCGAAAATAGCAAAAAGGGGATAGACTTGCATAAGCATGGTAATTATGTACTCCCCCACTGTTGAGTTCCTAACAAGGGAATCGCTCGCTTCCTGTCAAGAACGCATATGAGAGGCAGCAGCTGGCTAAACTCGGTACTGAGGCATGATGGCAGACTAGGGGGCTCTGGGAGCTCCGGGGGCTTCATAGAGCATCAATAATATGTGAGGGTGTGTGCCATCTTGAATGTTATGCAAGTACTAGCCAGTGACTTGCCTGATCTCGAAAATCCCAGAATGGTCTAAGTGTTTGAGAGATGATGGCAGACAGGCAGCAATGGCCATGAATTGGAAAATCAAATAGAAGATAATTGAAAGCCTGTCTTGAAACTCACCCCTCCCCCTCCAAATCTTTCCCCTCTTTGTCGCTGACATGCTCACTAACTTTCAGCTAGAAAAGATGCCCACACACTGTGTAGGCAGCCAACCTGCTACAGAGGAAGATGCCAACAGCGAGTACAGTGAACAATTCAAGCCAATATGCGTTACAGTTGCGCTTTTGGTGCCAAAGAAGGGCAAGAATGGGAAGGACAAGAAACCCGACACCGTCCAGAAGCAGTTTCAACTTGATGTCCTTGGGAGCAATAGGGAAATTGAGCCTTCCATTTTTTGGGGGGCTGCTCTCGGGGCATTGGGTCCCGGTTATTCCACAGTGTATGTGCTGGGAAATGGCACTGGCAAATGGCCCATCTTCAAATGGCACAAAGAAGGTGCAGCGTATGTACTACAGTCCCTTTTTCATTCATCCTTCAGGCTTTGACTAATCCTCATCTTCAGTGCGAGCAAGCGACTCCTAATTGAGACAAATGTGGAATTTTCGTCAATGATTCAGGCCATTCGCAGCCAGATGCTGCTTGGTATCACCATAGAGGTCAACTTGGATGACTTTCAAGCAATGCTGCAGCCAGTAAGATGCATTTATTATAGAAAAAGTTGTTTATTGACTGCAAATACAGACTCCCAGTACTACGAATGCACATCGGCATGCGAGTTATGAGCCACCTGGTTATGGCAATGTGGCTAAAGTGAGTTTTATTTCAGATCTGTCATTTTTATGGTTGTACATTCCAGAAACCAGGCACCCAGCATCGCAAATCTTACCCCATTGGAGGCAGAACACGCTGCAAAAGTGGTTCAACTTCAAGAGCAGTGGGCATGCATTGATCCTCACCATACTAATGGACAATACTGCTTCGTCTGTAAAGCTGGTGACCTGTGCATACCATTGTCTCCACATGCTCTGAAGCACTGGGCATCTAGTTGGGTGAGTTTCGAAATCAAGTTGGCAGACAATATTAGTATGTGACAATCATGGCAATTTTGCATGGCAGATTGAGGGCACAGCATCATTGAACAGTCCCCCTAATAGTCATTATTTTGATTTGACTACCCATCACCATTCCAAATCCCAGTCCCACACCCCCGGAAATCCACCAGCTAACAATCAGCTTGAAACTCTCATGACACTTGCCCTTGTGGCAGTGGTCTCCACTTTGAACCCGAAAGCATCAGCGTTGCTTGTTCCTCCAACACATGTTGACAAAGTGCCATTGCCCAAAAAGCAAATTACAACGATCCAACCCCTGGGTAGCCCCCAGAAGACAAAGCTGATCCTCGGACACTCATCAATTCAAGAGTTTGTCACCTGGTGTGATGTGTTATGTTGAAGGAGAGAACGAAGGAAGGTCAGTTGGGAGGTTCAAACGAGACCACCACCAAGCTGTTCCCTGGTTCTTTAGTTAGGATGGGGAAGTGTACTAGTATTATTTGTTGTAAATATAGTACCAATCCGAGTGTTTTGGCTAATTCTATTGTTATGGGTTAATCTAAAGTTTCTGGGAATTGACTTACAGATAAACTGAGCCCTGCAGAGCTGTTCCTTTATTGAAATTTCTTGATTTGTCTAGGTGTAATTCTGTGTAGTGTTGTTCAATTTGGAATTTAACTTGAATTAAATCTTCTGCTTGGTGAAGTTTCAAAGATTCTACTCAGTTAATGGATTTGGATTGTGTCTGGAGTGTCCCCTGAGTTTGTTTTATTTTTGTCTTATTTTATTGCTTGTTTTAACAGTAGCAAAATAACTGTTTTGTGTTTACACTTTGAAATCTGGAGTGTTAACCAGCTCTCCTGTTGAAATATCTACTTAATATTTCTCTCCCTAATTGCTGCCTTTTACTACAGTGGCAATCTTAACTGTATATCACTTTTTCACACTGGAGTGACAACCAGAAATGCTTGAGAAAAATAATACTCTATTTTCTTACTGCTCTGAGGGGGGCAAAAAGTTGCAGAAAGGGTCTCCCTTTTATACTCCTTGGGTTGCCTTCCTTTTTCACGCTCTACCTCATATTTACAGGATTTATTTACAGTGTATTTTTCTCAAACTGAATAAAAAATGAAATTTTCACACTATAGTTCTACTGCACTTTGCTGCGCTGAACTGCGGCTCTACTGCAGTCAGACTGCACCTAGAATCCTTATTGTCCTTCCTCGCCTAAGCTATTTTAATGGTTAATTAGAACTTGACTGCACTGCATTTGTCACAGTTCCCTATTTCAAATTCCTCATATTTACCATTAAATTTTGCTATGACTCGGTGATTCTGAATTCAAACTTCGCATTACTATGCATACGGCTGCACTGAGACCTTCAGCTGATTTATTCCATTTTTATTCAGCGACATTTAGTTAAAATGAGACTTGAAATGGTAAATGAGTGAATTATTCAGGTTTAAAACTGAAAGAAAAAGTTGCTAGTAGTCAAGAATTACTCAAACGAATGTATTATAGCTCTCCACTTCATTAGAATATCGTTCCCTAAAATTCCTGCCATGGTCCATCATAGTTTAGTGGTTTTTGTGGATTTCGTTCATATTCCCTGATTCCCCTTTGTATTATCACATCCTAATCCTCCATATGTATTGTTTGTTGTTATAGTAGGTCGTCCTCGAAGTTTCATATTTTTATGTATTTTATTTAGGGCTCTGGACCTCTTGAAGCTGTCTTCCTGCGCGTTTTCAGGTTTCTAACTTCATGTCCTTGTATCTCATCCATTTCTGGATAGTTTTTCACGTTCTTGGTATCATAAATTTTCATTTATTCCCACCTTTCCAATGGTACTAAAGTTGTGTTCTATTTCCTGGTATTCGTCGAGTTAGCAAAGGTTCGCACGCACATTCGGTAATCATGTGCATCATTCCTGTAGTCATTTGTATGTGGGCACCATTTCTGTTTAATTGTTCGGGATTTATGGTATGCGCAGGTGTTTGTATTCTTCATATGGGCTTCCGTGATTTATTTCAGATTTTTCCCTAATAATCTAAGGTTGTTTTGCACTTTCCGTGGTTTGTTTTGACCAGGCTCTTCCTTATTTGGATGGAAATTGGTCTTCGTGACCTGCCGAAGTGTGGATCTCGGTTCCGACAGCTGGTTCCCTTCGCATTGCCACCCTCACATGTCATTAAACATGATGTGGATTTCTATATTCCCATCATTGGTATAACTTTACAACGGCTGGACCGTTTGGGCTGAAAATTTGCATAACTATAGTTTCCTATTTTTCATAACTTCTGTGTAAATCTCGTTGTATGTTTTAATTATGGATCCTACATAAACATCGTCTTTTCCCTGAGCTCGGACTTTTGATGTCACTATTCCCGTTATTGGATATCTCATTAATGCGTGATCCTTTTATGGTGAAAATTTGGGTGGATTAAGATTAGATCCCTTCCTTTCTAATGGGCCATCAAGCTCGTCTCGGTTGTTACTGGTTATTCTTCGCGCTGTAGGCGGGATAATCGCCCACGCACAGACTCGGCTCAGATACCTGATTCTACGATTAGGAAACAACTTTCATTCACGCGACGACTCGGTACAAATTTGGTATCTAAAAATAGTGCTAATTCGTACGATTCTGACGATACCAAGAACGTCCCAATCGGTGGAGATTTGATGGAGTTCTATGTTGGGCAAGTTAGGCATGGCAGGTCACGAGTATGTGCGGGCATGGGAATCTCAAGCAGCAACCCAGAATTCCTGCCTCACTCGTTCCCACGGCGTCTAATAAATTGGTAGAAATGCTTATTGGCTGTGTGAGAGTTATCTCCGGCTACATTTCCAATTTAGGCTCTTAATTCCGCAAATCCATTGAGAAATCGCTTATTTTCATATATTTTCATATTTTGCCATCATTTCAGTTATTGATCAATATTCTTTTATTGATACTGTTACCCTTTTTTATTATTTCGCCTAATAAGGTACCCAGGTGCCATATGGTACCAATATTCCCCATCTATTCTTTCTAAAAATAATTATTAGATATAATCCTGTACATACCGGATTTTTGAAAAGAAGTTCTCCCCTCCCCCAAAATTCTCTAAGGTGCTAGGATGCGCTAGAGTGGGTGTGAGTGTGTGGAATCCAACAGTAGGAATAAGGGCAACTGTCTAGCCCACAACGAGTGGGTAGTAGATTAGTTGAGCCCGGACCTTGCGGAATCCCGGAGAACCCACACGGAGTTTAAGGATCGAGAGCATAGTGAAGTTTAGTAAAGAAAGTAGGATTTTGGAGAGTTTGTCCCCCACGAGCTGTGTCGGCATAGAGAGCTGCGAGCCCTCTTGCAGCGCCTGCTTTTTAAGCATTGTCCTCATTTTGCGGGAGTTTTAGTCATATCTCCATCGTTTATGGGTAGTTTTCCCTGTAATTACTTTCATTGGGTCCGTTTGGGGGACATCTACATTTCCTATTATAGACACGACTTTGAATTTTGCATTAGTTCCTGAGGAATCCTTGTTCCGTGGTACTTCCATCCTTGGCTACATGTGCGGACATGGGAAAGTAGTTTCTGTGGAGGTTCTCTGATTGTTTTTATAGTCAAATCTTGGTCGATTGTCCTAATTCTTTGTTTAATATTTGCTATAAATTCCCCCGAGAATTCTGTATTGTTGATGCTAAGCTTGAAGTATTTTTGCTAATTTTCTTTCTTTCAATTTATCACGTATAGTCGTAAAAATTCGTAAAAATTCGTTAAAATTCATTAAAATTCAGGTCCTTCTATTGTCTCATATCTACTTGTCATATGGGGTTTTGTGATTTATCTGGCATATTTCCATAATGGGTTTCCATAGTGTGACCGTTATTTCTCCTACAACGTGGCAAGGACTAGAGTTCTTGCATGCTGGGTATGCAAGAAGAGGAGATATATCCAGATGGTCATCTTGGGAAGATCTCTGATAATAACCTCTGGCGTGCTCTGGGCCTCCGTCTTGGTCCTCTTCAGCGATTTCATGCAGCGGCATCCGAATTTTGGAACTGGAAGGTAGAGAAACAACATGCATCTGACCCTCCCAATTCTCCACCCAATCCCATGGCAAGCTCTTCTTCAGCTGGCCAGAAACGCAAGGCACCGGATGATGATTGGGCAGTAGTTATGTACAGGCAGAAATACAAGGATGGCCGAGACCCCACATATGATGATGGAAGACCCGTGTTCAACATTCCCATTAGCCAAAACAACACGGACATGTGGGATCAGTTTGTGGAGGAACAAGAAAAACTTCACAATGACAAAGGGGTTGAGGATTATGTGATGGTTGCTGAGGGGGGTTATTGGATGCATATTCCCCCCACTCGTGGAGGGTTCTTCAACCCCATAACTGACAACCCTTGTTTGTATACCCATGATGATGATCCATTTTTGCTGTGAATAACTCCGCAAAACATGTCTATATGTATGTTTGCCATATCTACATAGTCTATGACAATATTTGGATGGGCTCAAAAGTATCCACATGAACAGTACCATCCTTGGGCTTGACTGTCGCTAACTTGAGAACATGCATCATAAATAAATGACAAAGGAGATGGATGGTGGACTGCATCATCATATTGACAGCGCATCCAGGTCTTGATGAATGAAAACTTATGATTCCTCAATTGGATTGAAGTCCGGCGAGTATGGTGGCAAATACAACAAATGGCCACCTAGATTGATCAGATCAAGGAAGAGAATGGGAATAGAGCTAATACTGTACCTGCTTCATGTTCAATAAGTGTGCATACCTCCTGACTGTGGTGAATGGAACAGTTGTCCAGGAGGAGGACACTCCATGGTCCTGGGTATCAAAAACTTCATATGCAAGATAACCATCTACACCTAAGACAGGGAGAATCGAATACCGAGTCCCTCAAACAAACCAAGATCAAACTGGGCAACACTTCCCAAGCTGGGCATACCCCCACCAACGTGCAATGGTGCGTTCATCCTTTGAACTCTCATCAATACAAATGAGCATGTTGGGGTCATGGACCAGCTCTGCATAGCGGCATTTGAAAGCAGCATGGAGGACCTCATTTCTTTCTATTGCAATCCTAGTTACTTGTTTGCAAGTGTAAAGAAGTGAGTTGAGTGTTCATTGGAGGGTGCTTATGCCAACATCAACCCCAAATTCAGTATGGATACAGGCTTGAAGCTCATCCAAGAGAAGTGTGCCATCATTGTCAAGGTGGGTCTCAATGTAAGTGACAGCCTCTCCTGGGAGAGTGCATGGCCATCCAACTCTTCGAAGTGATGGGGGTCGGATAGTATTGTTGGTGCACCAGCAGTTCAGGATTTTGTAAACTAGGGTTTTGCTGACAGATAAAGTACGACATATCTGCTGAACATTGAGACTGTCCATCCAGAGAAAGGGGATACGAAGCTTTAGGTCATCACTTAGGCAGTGTATGAGGCAAAATATAAAAATATAGGAAAATAAGCGATTCCTCAATGGATTTACAAAATTAAAAGCTGAAATTGGAAATGAAGCCAGAGATAACTCTCATGCAGCCAATAAGCATTTTTACCAATTTATTAGACGCTGTGGGAACAAGTGAGGCTGGAATTCTGGGTTGCCACTTGAGATTCCCATGCCCACACATGCTTGTGACCTGCTGTGCCTAACTTGTCCAGTGCATAACCCCGCCAATTCTCCACTGATTGGGATGTTTTTGGTATCGTTGGGATCGTAGGAATTAGCCCTATTTCTACATATCAAATTAGTATCGAGTTGTCACATGAATGAAAAGGGTTTTATAGTTGTGGAAGCAGGTATCTACATGGGCAATTATCCCACCTACATTGTCTGGCATCCCAGATCTGGTCTCTGACACACCACCATTCCGTGATTCCCTGTCAGGGCACAGCCCTTGACCCCACTCACCCTCAGACACCCTCACCCTTTCCCTAACCACCCTCTCTCCACATTTCCCCATTCCCCTTATCCTTCCCCCCACTGTTTCACATAATGACGCGCGCGCGTGAACCCGTGGGAACGTTCTGGGCGAGCAACTCGCCCAGAAATGTACAGCCACAACCGTGGGAACATTCTGGGCGAGCAGCTCGCCCAGAACTTTCCCACGGGTCACACCCGTTATGGAAAGTCGGCAGCAAGCGGGAACTGTATAGTTCCTAGGGTCCTTTTGTGTCGGCCTCACAGGGGGCTGAGAAGCTTACCCTTCTTCTCAGCTCATTCCCTGTGAAGGCAAGTGTACTTACCCGCTTTTCAATGAATACCAGCTCATTCCCTGTGAAGGCTGAGGCCAGTCCCCTCAGCGACTTCGAGGAGTTAGCACCTGGGGAGAGTACCCCAGCATCCACACCCAGCCTCGCCCTCCGGCCACTCCCAGCTGGGGTCCGGATCCTGACATTCCCTGACCCTTCCCCAATGCCCTCTGATACATCTCCCTCCCTTCCCATGATTTTTATATGTTTTTTTCCATGTCATTTCCAACCTCCAACCAAACTTCTCACATGTGACACTATCCCCAACTTCTTACCACATGTACTCGACAACCACTCATCCGTTTCCGATGATCTTAGGCTTGTTCAATAGAAGATAACTAGCTCTACCTTTATGTCAGGTTTGGTGCCAAATGGTTCAGCGGTTGAGGCATGCGTCTGCTTTCTTTGATTACATTGTATTTTTATCCTGTCAGGGCAACCACACCTGACCATACAACCCCAGAACCACCTTCCCTGACTTCCCCCACTTCCCTGACCTTCCCATCTTTACATATCTCTCTCAACCACAGCCCACATGCGAACCTGCAGGAAAAATCATGTGGGTCAAGGCGAGCAACTCACCTTAACCCATGTGACACCTTTTCCAAGTTGTGGGAACATGATGCTCAGCTTCTACCCATAGTCATGTTATGAACTGTACAGTACATTTCCCTTTTATAGCAGCCAAGCAGGGAATAGGGAAACTTACCCTTCTTCTCAACTCAATCCCTGCTTAGTCACTTCAGTGAGTTTGAGGAGCTAAGGACTCTAGTGCCCAGGGACTCGGTGTAGGAGAAATAACGGTCACACTATGGAAACCCATTATGGAAATATGCCAGATAAATCACAAAACCTCATATGACAAGTAGAGATGAGAAAATAGAAGGACCTGAATTTTAATGAATTTTTACGAATTTTTATGAATTATTATGACTATACGTGATAAATCGAAAGAAAGAAAAATAGCAAAAATACTTCAAGCTTACCATCAACGAGACGGAATTCTCGGGGGAATTTATAGCAAATATTAAACCAAGAATTAGGACAATCGACCAAGATTTGACTATAAAAACAATCAGAGAACCTCCATGGAAACTACTTTCCCACGTCCGCACACGTAGCCAAGGATGGAAGTACCACAGAACAAGGATTCCTCAGGAACTAATGCAAAATTCAAAGTCGTGTCTATAATAGGAAATGTAGATGTCCCACAAACGGACCCAATGAAAGTAATTACAGGGGAAACTACCCATAAACGACGGAGATATGACTAAAACTCCTGCAAAACAAGGACAACATCTGAAAGGCAAGCACGAAGATTAACCAGTAACGACCGAGACAAGCTTGATGGCCCATTAGAAAGGAAGGAATCTAATCTTAATCCTCCCAAATTTTCATAATAAAAGGATCATGCATTAATGAGATATCCAATATCGGGAATAGCGACATCAAAAGTCCAAGCTCAGGGAAAAGACGATGTTTGCGTAGGATCCATAATTAAAACATACAACGAAATTTACACGGAAATTATGAAAGATGGGGAACTATAGTTATGCAAATTTTCAGCCTAAATGGTCCAGCCGTTGTGAAGTTATACCCATGATGGGAATATAGAAATCCGCATCATGTGTAATGACACGTGAGGGTGGCAATGCACAGGGAACCGGCTGTCGGAACCGAGATCCACACTTCGGCAGATTGCGAAGACCAATTTCTGTCCAAATAAGGAAGAGCCCGGTCAAAACAAAGCACAGAAAGTGCAAAACAACCTTAGATCATGAGGGAAAAATCTGAAATAAATCACAGAAGCCCATATGAAAGAAATAAACACCTGCGCATATCATAAATCCCGAACAATTAAACGGAAACGGCGCCCGCATACGAACGACTATGGGAACGACGCATGTGATTACCGAATGTGTGCATGAACTTTTGCTAACTCAACGAATACCAGGAAATAGGACACAACCTTAGTACCATTGGAAAGGTGGGAATAAATGAAAATTTATGATACCAAGAACGTGAGAAAACATCCAGAAATGAATGAGATACAAGGACATGAAGTTAGAAACCTGAAAACGCACGGGAAGACAGCTTCAAGAGGTCCAGAGTCTTAAATAAAATACATAAAAATATGATATCTTCAAGGACGACCTACTATAACAACGAACAATACATATGGAGGATTAGGATGTGATAATACAAAGGGGAATCAGGGAATATGAACGAAATTCACGAAAACCACTAAACTACGATGGACCATGGCAGGAATTTTAGGGAACAATATTCTAATGAAGTGGAGAGCTATAATACATTCGTTTGAGTAATTCTTGACTACTAGCAACTTTTTCTTTCAGTTTTAAACCTGAATAATTCACTCATTTACCATTTCAGTCTCATTTTAACTAAATGTCACTAAATAAAAATGGAATAAATCAGCTGAAGGTCTCAGCACAGCCGTACGCATAGTAATGCGAAGTTTGAATTCAGAATCATCGAGTCATAGCAAATTTAATGGTATATATAGGGAATTTGAAATAGGTAACTGCGACAAATGCAGCGCAGCCAAGTTCTATTTAACCATTAAAATAGCTTAGGCGAGGGAGGACAATAAGGATTCTAGGCGCAGTCTGACCACAGTAGAACTGCAGTTCAGCACAGCAAAAGTGCAGTAGAACTATAGCGTGAAAATTTCATTTTTTATTCAGTTTGAGAAAAATACACTGTAAATAAATCCTGTAAATAGAAGGTAGAGCGTGAAAAAGGAAGGCGACCCAAGGAGTATAAAAGGGAGACCCTTTCTGCGACTTTTCGCCCCCCTTAGAGAAGTAAGAAAATAGAGTATTATTTTTCTCAAGCATTTCTGGTTGTCACTCCAGTGCGAAAAAGTGATATACAGTTAAGATTGCCACTGTAGTAAAAGGCAGCAATTAAGGAGAGAAATATTAAGTAAATATTTCAACAGGAGAGCTGGTTAACACTCCAGATTTCAAAGTGTAAACACAAAACAGTTATCTTGCTACTGTTAAAACAAGCAATAAAATAAGACAAAAATAAAACAAACCCAAGGGACACTCCAGACACAATCCAAATCCATTAACTGAATAGAATCTTTGAAACTTCACCAAGTAGAAGATTAAATTCAAGTTAAATTCCAAATTAAA